ATTACAGGCATGTGCCACCACGCCCAGCTAATTTTTGTATTTTTAGTAGAGACTGGGTTTCTCCATGTTGGCCAGGTTGGTCTTGAACTCCTGACCTCAGGTGATCTGCCTGCCTGACCCTCCCAAAGTGCTGGGATGACAGGCGTGAGCCACCACACCCAGCCTAATTTTTGTATTTTTGGTAAAGACGGGGTTTCACCATGTTGGCCAGGCTGGTCTCAAACTCCTGACCTCAAATGATCCATCAGCCTCAGCCTCCCAAAGTGCTGGGATTATAGGCATGAGCCACAGCGCCCAGCCAGAGCTGCAGAAAGTTCTATGGAATGGTGCTTCTGTAGAGGCATAAGAACAAAATAGAATGCCACAGAGAGACCTTGGAGGCGAGGAGAAACGCTTTAGAATGTGTCCCCCCCCAGGTCACCCACCATCACTTTCCATTTGGTTTGGGCTGTGTTCTGAATGGGAGAACAATTTCAAAGCTCTGCCATCAGAGTCAACCTTTCTCCACGCCCCTTTCTTTCTTTCGAGACAGAGTTTCGCTCTTGTTGCCCAGGCTGGAGTGCAATGGCGTGATCTCGGCTCACTGCAACCTTCGCCTTCAGGTTCAAGCGATTCTCCTGCCTCAGCCTCCTGAGTAGCTGGGATTACAGGCGCCTGCCACCACACCCGGCTAATTTTGTATTTTTAGTAGAGACAGGGTTTCACTATGTTGACTAGGCTGGTCTCAAACTCCTGACCTGGTGATCTGCCCGCCTCGGTCTCCCAAAGTGCTGGGATTACAGGCGTGAGCCACCGTGCCCGGACCGGCCCCTTTCTTTCAGTGGTGCTTGATGGTCAGACCAGGGGAGAACCTCCGCTTGGGGATATGGATATAGAGAGATGGATAAATAGACACAGAAAGAGACAGATATAGATGCAGGTAGATAGAGAGGGGCATGGATGGAAGGGTAGTTACAGATAGAGTAAGAGAGAGAGGCTGATAGAAGCAGGGATACATACAGATAGAAAGAAGGATGGATGGATGGATGGATAGATACAGCTATCGAGAGAAAAACAGAGGAACAGATAGATATAGACGGGGATAGATAGAGACAGAGAGAGGAATGGGTAGATACAAATAGAGATAGAGGAATATACAGAGATGGATGGATAGAGGGATAAGCATAGATAAGATAAATGGATGGACGGATAAGATGATAGATAATATAGATGGATAGATAATATGGATAGATAATATAGACAGATGGGTAAATGGAAAGATAGATTAGTTGATAGATAATATAGATAGATGGATGGATAGATCTAGCTACAGAGAGAAAAATTAGAGGCACAGATAGAGAGGGATAGATAAAGATAGAGGAATGGGTAGATGTATAGAGAGAGAAATATACAGAGATGGATGAATGGATGATGCATATATAAGATTGATGGATAAGATGACTGACGGATAATAGAGATGGATGCATGGAAAAATAGATTGGTTGATAGATAATATATAGAGAGATAGATAAATGGATAGATGAATTAGATAAATAGGCAATATAGATACCTAATATAGATGGATACATAGATAAGACAGATAGATAATATAGGTATATCTATCAATGGATAAAGGATGCATTGATAAGATGGCTGGGCCGGGCGCAGTGGCTCACGCCTGTAATCCCAGCACTTTGGGAGGCTGAGGCGGGCAGATCATGAGGTCAGGAGATCGAGACCATCCTGGCTAACAT